TCATGGGTCATTCACACACTCCCCTGGACGACTGTTTTAAACTGTCGTGTGTCAGTCAAAGAAAAGCAGATGCAAAATGAGGAACTAAACTTTCTTTTATTTAAAATTGGGTGGGTTTTCCATGTAGTGTCAAGCTGTGTTTTGATTTTGGCAACAGGAAGGGACACAAAGGGATGTGAGTGGTAATGCTAAATAAAATAATAACTCAAGAATATTGCACCAGAAATACTGGGGAATAAAGTTAAGTTTAATATGGCATATATATATATATATATATATATATATATATATATATATATATAGTAAAATTTTTTGTCATTGTAGAAGCTGTAGTCCACAGACAGTGTTGCGTCCGGAAGGACTTTCTTTTTAAATAATAATTGTGAGATCATTTTAGTGCTTCAGAACAAAATAAAACACAGCAGTTTGATGAGCAATTCTTCAGACATTTGTGGTAGAGTAATAATAAAAATGTGGATTCTGACCTCAAAAATGCTGGCTAGCATAAATGACCACTTATATTTCTTTTTAAAAATCTCATAAATTTTATGTAAAACTATAATTGTCCAAATAGTATGTCCTTGACTTTAGAAACTGTTTACACAGTTCAGATAATTTGCCCCACAATTCAGAGCTTCGTAACTTCTTTTTAAAAATGGGACAGTCCTTTTTTTCCTGGCATCAAGTCCTTGGGGATTGTATTAGCACAGTCAGTCCTGGGGGCCTCACCTCTCATACTGGTGACTGCTCATAGGGCAATCTGTCACATCTCAGCTTTCAGCAGTTCCAAATGGAGCTTCTTAAAGACTGCACTCCATATGATTTTCCCTGTACTCTGAACACCTAGCACAACTAGTGCAGTGTCTTGTATATAATAGTTGCTTAGAAAATGTTTTCAGAATGGCCAAGTGAATGCTTGTGCTTTAATGCCAAAGTCATTTTCATCACAGTATGGAACTTTAAAAATATTTTCTTCCACAATATATAAGATTTTTACTTTTAAAAAATAATGTTAACTCTTCAGTACTATCCTGGGTAAAAGCTTGGAAAGAATGTAAGCAAAATCTATGGTTATAATCGACAACAGTCCTTATGGAAATTTCTCTTACATAAGTAGCTGCTAGAAGAATTAAATTTTAACTCAATATGTTGTCTTAACCTTTTTCCTCGCTAAGTATTTTGGTGAAGTAGCTGATCTGCTGTGTGCTTTTTAGTAACCTCATAGTGCTTCAGTGTATGGCAGTTCTGTTCTTTTTTTTTTTTTTTTTTTTTGGAGACAGGGTCTTGCTTAATAGCTTAATAGTTCAGGCTAGCCTTGAACTCATTAGCCCAAGCTGGCCTCAAACTGGCAGCTATCTTCCTGTCTCAGCCTCCCAAGTGCTGGGATTACAGGTGTGTGCCACCACGCCTAGCGCTATTCTATCATTTATTTTGTATGAATTTTCCAGGTGGATTTTTACTTTACACACATACACCCGTCTTGCTGTTTCCTTAAATACACATGTGTATTTCCTTAAAATTAATTCTTATATATGAAGATCTATGCAAAGTCATATATATATATAATATATTATAGATTGTTGTGAAGAATCAACTAGATGATTATTGTAAAGCTTTCCAAGGCTGACAAAATTTCAAGGGCTTTTGGTAACATAGGTTATTGTTTTTATGGCTTCTACCTTCCCACTAGTGAAAGTGACTGTTTCAGTTAGAAAAACATCAGAGATCCCAGGTCATAGTGTCTTGAACAATAAGGACATCTATGGCTCTTTTTGGAACAGTAAGAAAGTGTCACTGCGAGAAACCCAGAGGAAATGGTAGTGTAGAACTGGTTAATCTCAAAGCCCAGGTGTCATGAAGAACAATCTCACTATATGCCAGCTGCCATCCAGTGAGTTGGCTTTTCCTCACCTGAGTTCCTTTTGGGAAAAGTCTGAGAATGTGCATTCCTCTTGGATCTTTCTTGATTCCTGGAGATCTACTTCTTTTTTTTTCTTCACTAAATTGTTGTTTTCCAGGTGTCTCAATTCCAGGTCCTGGAGAGGTAGTATTTTGCAACTGTCATTTTTTGTTGTGTAATTTTGCAGGTGTTAAGTTGTTACCTACAAGAACATCATTACCAACAAACATCTGGGATCTGTCATTTTTATTAAATTTTCTGTATTTGTAAAACTTTTTAGAAAATAAAGTTTATTTTAAAGTCTTAGAATTACCCCTTTCTATTTAAAATGTCTCCAGTTATGCCAAAGATTACTAAATTAGAGTCAGATTTTTCTCTGAATCTTTTCTCTATTAACCCTTCTATTAACCTAAATCTGGTAGTTGAGCTTGCTTTTAGAAGTCTTACTGCATTATTCTTTTTTCTTCTAAGCTTAAATGATTCATTTTAAGGGCAACTTGTACTTAGTTAACATATTACAATTGCTGCAATTTTGAAAACTGTTATAATCAGGAACCTCTTTTCTGAAATACACAGTTTCTAACTAAACTTGAAATGTATTTCTCACTTACTTTGCTTCATAACTGTAAACCTCTCCATCAAACAGTGATTCATTTGTCTATAATGTTTCAGAATATCAGATGATATATCCTTGAACCATATACCTATTCCTGGCTAACTTGTTTTCTTTTTCTCACATGTTAATCTCAGTTGTCTATATGACTTGTGCTGCTCATTCCATATTAAAGATATGTGAAACATACTGTATGTGGTGCATTCTATTTCTTTCTTGATCTTCTATGTTGATGGGAAGTTACTAAATTAATTTTATGACCCAGTAATTGACCCAACCCTCAGTTTGAGGTTGCCTCGTATCTCGTGGATGTGGGGCAGCTTCTGCAAAGAACACAGCTGCACAAAAGTGGGGTAGATCCATGAAACACAGTCAGGCTTCAGTTTGAAAGGAGAAGGGGTTGGGAGATAAGAGGTAGGAGAGACAACTAAGTTGTCTTCAATAGGACCATAGCTTATTTGTTTAGCTAGCCTCAACTTCTGGTGTGCTTTGAATTATATAGAGTTGTTTTTCCTTATTTTAATAGTTCCAAAATTTACTCTTTCTTTTTCCAACTTATTTATAGTTTTGCCTTTCCCTCAGCTATATTTTCTTATTGCTATTATTGTGCTTGTCTTTACATTGTTATCCTGTCATTTTAAAGGTCCTCCTTTCATTCTTCCGCTTCTACTCAGAAAAGACTAGCTTCGTAAAAGCTACAGTTCAGAAGTAATCAAGTTCTCAGTGAAGCCTGAGGCTTTACTTTATGGTGTTTTTCATGATTATGGTTACTTGTTAAATATTATAATCCAAACTTTTGAGCTGTGGCCTGGATAATCACCAACTGAGTTATCTCCAAAGTACAGAAGTACTTCTGTACTCTCAGTCTTCCAGAGCAAACATTTATGTTATTAAATGATAACAGTGTAATCAGAATACCTGAGGACTCTGCTATATTGCCTTCCTCGTTTCCTTGGGACATTTGGAGAAATTTGCTGACCTACAGTTCATAACTGAAAACAAGAAGTAGAAAATCATTAATTTTAGAATTATGACTAACATCAAGTGTATTCATTGTAGTAACATACCTTCAATTAGTAAACAAAATTTACTCTGAAATAGTGCATTTCATAACTGTAAGATACAGTTTTCTCATCTCTTAATATTTCTGAAATCAAGATACGTCTTACAGTCAATGGTGTCCTATAGTTGCTATTGACCTTGTGGTCAATCTTAGTGAACTTTCTGTGTGAATGTGCTTGTTAATCCTGAAGATATGACTGAACTCCAAACCCTTTACTGTTTTAATTGACTATCCTTGGACGATAAACCATTTAAGGAAGGAATGGGAATTTTAAAGTGGCCCCAAATCTCTTCTTTTTATATCTTCTGTTAAGATATGGCAACTATTATCAATCAAAGTTTTCAAGAATAACTATCAAAAGCTTGAAAGGAAATTCAAGAGAACAGCTCTGTGAAGAAATGCTATATTGCAAGCTGGGTAGGGTGGTGCACACCTTTTATCCCAGGACTGAGAAAGTTGAGTCAGGAGGATCACTGTGAGTTCGAGGCCAGCCTGAACTGCATAGTGATACCCTGTCTCAAACAAAACAAAACAAAGAAATGCTATGTTGCCAAGGGTCTTGATAGCATAAAAGACAATACTGCTTGGAAAACCTTGATCCCCTGCAGCTCTGAGTGTAAGAGTGATTCAGAGGAGTGAAATGATGCATGTGAGGAGTTGTTAGGAATACCTCAGCCAGGTTAGATTGCTTATAACTATTATGCATGATATATGTTTTAAAATTTTTCTAAATAGGTCTAGAAAGGTTCCTTCAGTATTTAAAAATTCTAAGCAATAAAGCATTTTGAGGTGGTTTGACAGCATATTTTCTTTCTTAGTGGTATATAAAGTAATGGTGTTTTATATAAGCAACATTGTCTCCAATTTGATAAAATATGATAGTTTGATTTACTATGCAACTTACTATTATTGTATTGCTTCCTATTATAACTTGATGTTTTCTTGAACATCTGATGTAGTGATGATAACACTACAAGGCAATGCATGAGTAATAGAAACCAGTATGCTTTAAAGCACAGTGCATCAGCCGTAATACCACATGGGTACTTGTTAGAATGCACATTCTCAGGCTCTACCCCAGACATACTGAATCAAAACTTTGGACATCTTTTAATAATCCCTAAAGGTGATTTTAATGCAAGGTAAAGTTTATGAATTGTTACTCCAGGCAGAATTATTTCAAACAAGGAAAAAATACTGGTGGTATTATTTTCAAATCAAATGTAGGAGTAGCCTAGAGTTTAAGAAAACACAGATTCCTTAAGTTCAGCTCAATTATATCTTCTACAGTGTGTTTAAGAGAAATGAAGAAATTTACCATGGTGTTTGTTAGCCAGTTACTGGTAGTGTAGGAAGAATAATGAAATAGTCCAAAAACTGCATATCCTTCACTTTGGGTTGATACTTGATCTTTGTCTTTTCAGCATGATGTATCCCAGACTTTACTCAAGGCAACACTGGACAGTGTTGTAGAAGAATGTGTCAGCTTTGTGGGAGTGGATATTAACATCTGTTCAGAAGTTTTGTTAAGGTAAGAAAAGAAATTTGTGGCTGAAGATCACAGAATTTTGAGTAACTGGCTGTCTAGCTCAAACCCTGCCAGAAAAGGGGACGTGAGTAGAAAATCACAGTGTAGAAAATCTATGGGTTTATACATTGCTGTAGACAGTCATTTAGAAAGGAAGACATCATTTAAGGAAAGAATTGTAACAGTCCACGTTATCGTTTTTAATACTGCAAATCTAAAGTGAAGAACATATGGTAACCATTGAATCTATTAGTGTCGCTAATAGAATTTAAATAAGGTTAACATGGAAAAGAGCTGTTTCCCGCCACGTGACAGTAGATATTTTTCACTAGTTCAGTGTCTTGCATCTGTCTGTCAAAACCAGCTGTAACCAAAACATAAATAGTGAAAGTTCAAGGTGTGGTTACCACACTTTTACCATGATTTTACAAGTGACCTATCAAAATTTCCATTGTACAATTGCACCTTGTATACAGTACTTTGTCTTTTTTTCCCTGTAGTTATAGAAGAGCTGCTTTTTTTATGTTCGTAATTTGCCTTTATTACACAAGTCTTTTGATGCAGCGTGAAATTCTCTGATCTGAACCTTTTTCACCAAAACTGGTATCATGAAAAATAAGGTTTGCTTTTTTGTCCTAGCTATAAACATTTCATTATTCCAAATATAGAGGAGTAAATTTAAGTCTACTTATAAATCCTTAGGTCCATAGTAGACTTAAGATTCTATGAAAAAATAATCATTTAATTAACATCAAGCTAATGATAATTTTTCCTAGTTTTATTCTAACTTCGACATTCATGGATAAGTACCTCCCTACAGTTCAACTCTTCACATTAATGAAAACAAGCAGGCAAAAAGGGTAGTACAGCACAAATGTAGCTATTGAACAGAAATAGACAGCATTATCTTTTGATTCAGAAATATAAGGAATGTGAGTAGAGACAGTGTGAGAGTCAGTTCTTTCTCTTGCATCAGTGTTAACCAGCATCTTTGACAGAAACTAGTTTTGTCATTATTTTTTATTGTTTTCCTTCTTTCCTCATGGACAGTTCTTTTCTCTTTGTCCTTTTGATTTAACTCCCTTTTGGATTAATTTATCTTAGACATAATAGTAATATGTAATCATGGTTGATTTTTATGGTCCAGGTGTTTTATGTGGATGAGATCTTTCTCTTTGCTCATTTTACTTTATTATTATTATTTTAGGCATATTGCGGGACTGAATACCAACAGAGCCAAAAATATTATTGAATGGAGAGAGAAAAATGGTCCCTTCATCAACCGAGAACAGCTGAAGAAAGTGAAAGGGCTAGGTCCAAAATCTTTCCAGCAGTGTGCTGGCTTTATCAGAATCAACCAAGATTATATTCGAACATTTTGCAGGTGATTATAAAAGTGCACTGCTGGTAGTATTGTCATCCTCCTCTCTCATAACCATTAGCCAGTCCGCTTAGTGGCATAAATTGTAGGTGCCCAGTGTTCTTGCCTTCGTTCAGTATGTGTTGACTGTCTATTCTTTGCTACGCACTGGGAATGCAACAGTCAACAAGTCAGCAAATTTCCTGTTCTTGTGGAGTTATATTTTTAATGTTTGATGTAGACAATAAACTAGTAAAATAAGTAGTTTCAGATGGTAAATAGTGCTGTATAAATTAAGACAGGGAGATGTAACACTGTGTTGGGGAGCAGTGCAACTGCTTTAGGTGAGTTATTTATTTATTAAAGAGTTATTTTAGCAAAGTTTTGTATGAAATGAAGGGGCCAGCCACACAAGGATTGAAGGGAAAACAAACTGTGCACAGTAGGACCAACTTCAATGTATTCAAGAGGCAAGGTGGAGAACAGCATGACTAGAGCATAGTAAATGGGAAAGGTACGAGATGAGGTGACAAATGTGACTTAGAAATGACCACTTCATACTGGTGTGGCTCTTTCCTTAGCATTAATTTTCAGTCATGTAGATAAAGAGCTAAATTCTTAATGTTTGAGTCCTCAGCACAAAAACAAAGAAATTGGATAAATATACTAGCATTGTATAAGCATGAAAGAAGAGCTTATATGTATCTGCTGTTTGGGACTACCTGATTCATTGATAAATTATTTTTCCACAAAATTATAATAAAGGTCATATGAAAAATAATCTTATTCTTAGACTAAAGTAAGGGAAACCTAGTCCCACAAGATAGTACAGTGAATGCATTGTAAAACTTAATAACAGGCATATAATTAAGCAGTTTGGTTTTGATATAGAAATAAATAAACCAGAATAGTGTCTGAAATCCACCAAAACATACTTGGAATTTAGGTTCTAATAAAGGTTACATTTCAGCTGATAATTATCCAATACATAGTGTTTGACAATTGTTAGGAGTGTTATATATGTGAAGGATGTGATAGACCCACCTCATTCCTTACACCCAAGTAAATTTCAGTTGGATCGTAGACATAAAAGTAAAAGGTAAAACTGTAAAAGTACAAGAAGAAAACATGAGAAAGTCTTGCAGAACAATGGAGTGGTGAAAATTATTTCCAAGTAGATCACGAAACCGAGAAGCTACAAAATGAGGATAAAAGTCAGGTTATGTTTTTTAATACCTGGTTAAAAAATTCAAACAGTATTTTTTATAAACAATATTTAAAAAGAAATAAGAAACAAAAAGTGCCTAAGTCTCCTACTTCAAAACCGTTTTTTATACCCTTGTATATAGGTATTTATTGTCTTTTTGGGGGGGGGGGTCCTGGGGATCGAACTCAGAACCTTATGCTTGCGAGGCAGGTGCCGGAACCACTGAGCTAAATCCCCGGCCCTGTATTTATTGTTTTTAAAATACATGCAGTAGGGATTATGCTTTACAACTATTTGATACCTAGACTCTTCAAATTATTAGAAAATTTTACTCTTTTTATCTATTATTCTTTATAATGTCTGCATAATACTTAATTACATGAATAAGCCATAATTTAGTGTAATCAGTGCCTATTGATGAACATTCTGGTTGTTTTAAAGCCTAATTTTTTCAACTAGTAATCAGATACTTAAAGATTCGTGACTGTTGTATCTTGATAATTCATACCCTTATGAACTATTCTAAGTGCTCTCATTTAATGATTTTCCTTTGAAATGTATTTTGATTGCTTGCATTGTTGCTGTATTTGCCTTTTCAGAATATGCTTGGATATTTTTAATTTTCATACTTTCTATGAGTAATTTTTATGTCTTATAAACATATAGTTGGATGTTATGGTTTTGCTTAATTTAACATTAATATATTTATATTTAGTGTATATATTGATCTGTTTGGACTAAGTCTTCTTAAATACTTTCTCTCCATCATGCTTTCTGATTTTTTGTTTTGCTGTTTGTTAGATTTATCACTTACCGGGTTTTCTCCTTGTTTTCCCATCACACCCTTAAACCTCTTTGGTAATTTCAAAGTTGGACATCTTCTATTTTTCTAATGATTATCTTTAATTTTGTTTTGGACTGACCTGTGGAGTTATTAAGTGTCTATCCTTGCAGACAAGACTTGAAACTTTGGACTTTTCTCAACCTTCCTCTCTTCATGCCTGTGTCATGAGATGACCTGGGATTTTTAGATTTTTATGTAGGTTGTGTGTGTGTGGGTGAAATTATTTAAAAGCAGCTATTCATTTTTTCTTTTATTTATTGTTTATTAGTACATGTTTGTAATACATAATGGGGTTTTGGTACATGTACATATTGATTCTTTTTAACTTCTCCTTTCAAACAGTTTTTTAACATAGTATCTTTGTATGGGTTTCTGTGCTTGTCACTATGTAGTCCATATTCTAATTTTCTCTTTCATTATTTTTCTGGAATTTATTCTTAAATTCTTTCTACCAAGCAATTACAGGTATAGATTTAAATTTGCCCTCCTAAATTAATGCTATTTTGGCTACATGTATGAGTCTAGATTCAAAGTCATTTTTTTCTCTGAACTTTTGAAGTATTGTTCTGATGTTTGATGTTTGCCAATAAGAAATCTGATACCAGTCTGGTTCAAGTTCCTTTTGTAGTAATCTGTTTGAGTCTCTTACCTTTTGGGATTTAAAAAAAGTTATTTCTACTCTAAAGTGCTCCATGATATGTTAACTATGAGTGTTTTCCCATTCATTCTATTCTGCACTTAGTAGGTTCTTTTGAGAACTTGGGTTTTTCATCAGCTCTCAAAAATAATCTTTTCCTTCTCCCCCTTCCTTTTTCTGTACCCCCTTCTTCCCCTACTCCCTTTTCTTTCTCCCGCTCTTCCTCCCCCTCCTCTTCCTCTTTGCTTTCCTCCTCCTCCTCCTTTTCCTCTGCATTTTTCTCTGTTCTCTCCTAGAATAACAAATACACACATTGAATCAGTAAAGAATTCTTTGGCTTTAAATAACAGTCCAGTTAGTAGTGGATTGTACTACTAGTGTAGTGAATGGTAGTCTCTATGAAATGAATGTTTGTTGTTTGTGTGTATTTCTTTTCTCCCCAACTTCTCTTTTTAAAAACTTTTTTTTTCTTTTTTCTTTATCCTGGTTTTAAATGACTACAGTAGTCAGCAAACTGAATCTTTAAGCCATATTCAAGGAATTGCTGTGACACCTTCAGCAGGTGTCGAGGTCACACATGAGAAGCAGGGCAAAAAGAAGAACAAAACCTCAGTGGATGCTATGCTAAAGCCAAATCCTCTGGACCAGACTTGTATTCATCCAGAATCATACGACATAGCAATGAGGTAAGTCGGAGACCCATGCAAGAATTCTCCATGCCCATGGTGAGTCACAGCAAACAGCCTTTGTTTCGGCATAATGGGGTTGGAAAAATATGACCGTGTTTAACATGACAACATTTTTTGGAAGTTCCGCATTGCTGAGTTATGTGGTACATTATTTTATTTCAGTGAGGAATGAAACCATTATTCCTGGAGCAGTATCAAGCTAGTAAACCCAGGTTCTAATGGTGCAGTGTGTGTAATGGAAATTGCATGGCACTCTCTGTTTATTTTGGAAATTAACAAGATACAATTGGCTAGCACCTGGCACAACCTTGTGGTTGCAGAAAGATAAAGCCCATTTGAAAGTAAACAGCCAACTCATGTTTCCTAGGTTCTTGGGGAGTCTAAGAAATAGTGTACTTTTGGTAATCACACATTAACATAGAATGATACAGGGAGGCTTTTCAGTACAAGGGAAATTTAATGTGTGCCATTAAAAAAAATGTTTTAATAGCACACTTAGTTTTAAAATTTTTAATTGGCTCAAATCTAGTGATTTGCTATGTAATCAAAATTTTATAAGGCTCTTCCTAAATTATGACAAGTAGATTTTAAAATACCGAATAGCTTAACTTTTGTTGAATCTAAAATAATGTATTTAACTTTTTTGAAATCATTTATATTTGCTTGTTATTTATTTGTTTTAAAATGTTTAAAATTATAAAGGTATACTGTATTATAAAAACTTAGAAAATGGGGAAAAGAAGTAAAAAATAATATTTTAGCAACATCAAAACAGTGTTTCTCTCTTTTCTCAACACTTTATTATGAGAAAAAATTAAAACAGAAAAATTGAAAAAATAACCTATGGTAAATTCCTCTATTTCCATATCCAGATGTTATCATTAACATTTTACTATACCTGTTTTCCACATATCTATCCATCTAATTTGTCCTTCAGTTTATCTTACCATTGCATTTTCAAAGAAAATTACAGATTTTATTGGACTCCTAAAGTCTTTAACATGCACACAACTAACTACAATTCAATAGTTTTTGCAGGATTTGGGGGTTTTGTATGTTTGTTTGTTTTTTTGGATACATGATCAATTATATTGGCTGTTGGTGATCAATTCACTTAGAGGTGTGGGGCTGGAAATTCCAACTCTAATCACAGAGTTGGCTTTTCAGGTAACCAATCACTGTCTTGAAGCTGTTTAGGGGCCCCCAAACCACCAGACATCTCATTAGCATAAGAAAGATAATCATATCCTGAGATTACAAGGACTTTAAGAGCTTTTCACTGGGAAACACCATGAGGACCAAATATAAATTTCTCAGTACCACATGGAACCTTGGGTATTTTCAGTTTTGGGCTTTTATGAGTAAAACTACTAGAATATTCACCTGCAGTTTTTTGTTGCTGTCGGGACTGGGTTTCACTTATCTTAGAAAATACCTAGGAAAGGAATTGCTGATCATAGGATGAATGTGACATTTTCTTAGAAACTTCGGTTGTACCATTTTATATTTTACACTTCCACCACCATTTAATGTTAGTCATTTTTATTTTAGCCATTCACAGTTTTAATTTGTATTTCCTTGATGGCATTGATAACTTTCTTATATACTAGTCATTTATGTATCTTCTTTTGAATAATATCAGTTCATATCATTTAGACTTTTTGTGATTGACTTGTTTGCTGTTTTACTAATGAATTTTGGGAGTTTTAAAAAATATACTCTGAATACAAAGTCCTTTGTCAAATATGTTTCAAAATACTTTCTCCCAGTTTGTGACTCACTTCTTCTTTAATGGTATCTTTTTTTAAAAAAATTGTTTATTTTTGGTACCAGGGATCAAACTCGGGACCTTGCACCTGTGAGGCAGGTGGCGGAACCACTGAGCTAAATCCCCGGCCCTAATATATCTTTTTTTTTTTTTTTGCTCTGATTGTTTTTGCTTTCCATTTTCTGTTAAAGACACCTCTGTCTACCTCAAGTCATGATACATTCTTCAGTATTTTTTTTCTAAAAGCTTGGTGGTTTTGACCATTATAGTTAGGTCTGTGATACTTCTGAAATTCTTTTTTTATTTCATTTGAAGTCCAGGTTCATTTTCTTGCTCCATCATGAACATTCTGCTTTCTAGCACCATGTTTAAAAAGAAAAACAAAAATGAACCAACTTTTCTTTACCTACTACTTTGGTATCTTTGTTGAAAACCAAATGATTGTGTAAGTGTGAGTCTATTTCTAACTATATTGTTTCATCGAACTGTTTCGAGCTTCTTTTCTTTTTGGTAGTACTACGAATTGAACTCATACTAGGCAACCACAGTACCACAGAGCTACATTCCCAGCCCTCATGGGTCTGATTTTCAGTTCTTATTGTCTGTACCACACTCTCTTGATCACGGTAGTTCTCTATTAAGTTTTAATGTTAGATAGTGTAAGTTCTCCCAGTTTTAAGATTGCTTTGTATGTTCCAGGTGGTTAGCACTTATTCTGTAATCAGCTTTTGCATTTCCATTAAAAAAAAAAAGGTAAGGATTATGATTGGGATTGTATTGAGTCTGTAGGTAAACTTAGGGACAATTAATATCTTAATATTATTGAGTCCTTTTGGTCTATTGACTTACTCTGTCTCTCCATTTATGTAGGTATCCTTTTATTTCTCTAATGCTTTAGTTTTCAGTGTACAGGTCTTACATGTATTTTACTAAATGCATTGTGGTTTTTAATACTATCATAAATGGAATTTTTTTTCCCCATTGAGTTTATTGGTACATTTTTGGTATAAAATAACAGTTACATTCATCATTGGGATCTTGTACCATTACATGAGTCTCTTGGTTCTGTTTTTTTTTCCCCTTCCCTTGCCCTCCCTTCACTCCCTTCACCGTTCCCTATTTGCAAAGGCCTTGTTTCCATTTTTTTTCCTCTTCTCATATTTTTTCCTTTCCCTTCCCCTACCCCTCCCAATTCCCTTGCTCTTTTAGACCTTTTCTTCCTGTTACACAATATCAGTTATACATTTTTTAAATTACAGTATTAAGATCTAGGAGACATTACCACAGATTTTACAGAATTTAAAAGGATATAGAAAGCATATTACAAA